TATGACAGATTAAAGAGCACAGATTATTGGTTGTAGATCGAGGGTTATTGATATTTCCTTATTCTGGAGTGCAAGGATGTCTCCCCCCCCCATGCCCCTGCCTATGACAATTGGTGTCTGTACATATACACAGTAAAAAAACATTATTGGCTGGTTTCTATTTCTGTTAAGATTGTTTTGAATATGCCAAAAGCTTAGGATTCAACATAGGAACAAAGTAACTAATACATGGATGGGTGCATCCATTTGTGCTCATTTTCTTTTGACCAATCATCATTCAGTTTGAGATGTGTGGGAGATTTGGTATTTAAAGTCTTCTTTTTCTGATTTTGATTCTAAGACTTGTTTAAAAGTTGGGGATTTGAGTGGGCATGTGGAGAGAGAAAGAGAGAGAGAGAGAGCGAGAGATGGAGAGAGAGAGAGAATTAGTTTTAGAATGAAGAACTATGCAATGGACTAGGTTTTATGATTATTGTAAAGTGACTGAATGGAGAGTCAAATTTGGAAAACCATAGCAATACAAGTACCTAAACATACAAACCATCAAAGCTTTCTACATGGGTAAAATAAAAGTGCTTGGGAAGACCTTACCAATGCGAGCACTTCTCATTAAAGATAAACCCATGTACTTTTATGCTTGAGAACTCCTTGAAAAATGGGCATCAAAAGAGCTGATATTGCCCTTTGCCATTCACTGGTAGTAAAGTGTTTCCTGGAGTATCAGATACATAAGGGTCTGACAATCGTAGATCAGTTTGTTTCTTGTTCTTATTTGTCTCACGTATCCTATGAATAGTTACTGGTTTAGTCACTGACAGATGAAGGTGCGAGCTTCATTTTATCAAAATGTTGACAGCTTTTAATCTTTTTAAAATTTCTTTGATAGAGAAATTAGGGGTGGTTTCTCCTGCCTGACCACAAGGTTGAGACCTGCACTGCAGGCGTCACCTGTATTTGAGAAACATCAAAGTTGAGGAAGTATTTATAAATACCTTTTCATAAATTGATCAATAATTTTTGATATATTGCATGTAAAAGCATGTCTGTGTGTGGTCTCGTACACTGTCCAAAAGGCTCAGACTTATCATGTTCTTATGCACTACTTTTTGTTTATAAAAGGTAAAAAGTGAGAATAGAGTCTGTCATTTTTTGTTTCTTTTCCCCTCTGTACTACACCAGAGTATAAAAGATAATTTGTACTCATAAAGTGTTAAAAAGAGAATTGAACATTTCAGTTTTACTCCCCCCTCTCCCCTGCACTCCTGAGGACCGTTGAGGCTATTTGCTTGCCAAATTTGATATTAATTGATTTTCATGTCAGAAAGGTGCCCTCCACAGTAGAAATGGCCCTGTCTGCAGACCTGGACACCTTGAAGAGCTGCTTCCTCTTCACCAAGGTCTTATTTTATCTTATCACCGGGGAACTATGTTGATGGTTTTCTATGTGCCTGAGTTGGGCTCACTCTTCTGTGTAAATGTTAAATTGGAGTTACTTTGGTCCAATGTGGAAGGCCCTTTAGCAACATGCCTTACATTGGGTGAAAATATTGCTGGGATTATATAAGATATTTTGCCTGCAAATTGGCTTACAGTGTGNGTCTTATTTTATCTTATCACCGGGGAACTATGTTGATGGTTTTCTATGTGCCTGAGTTGGGCTCACTCTTCTGTGTAAATGTTAAATTGGAGTTACTTTGGTCCAATGTGGAAGGCCCTTTAGCAACATGCCTTACATTGGGTGAAAATATTGCTGGGATTATATAAGATATTTTGCCTGCAAATTGGCTTACAGTGTGATAAAAATAAGTAGGGAAAAATGATGGTTAAGGTGACACAAAAAATAGGGTTATATTTGAAACAGAAAAATTTGGAGCATACACTGAAAAAGAATGGTGATCAAATTTCTAAAATAAGAAGAACTGAAAAAATGAAATAAGATTAAAAACAAAAAGTCATGAGTTCAATGAAAAAGATTAACTCATAAAAGTGATATTATGTTACTGACACCTAGGTGATGATATAAAATTAGGATTCTGGAGGGTATATCAAATTGTGAAATTGTGTTTAGTATGAGGAACATTTTACATTGATTGCAATCCTTTTCTTCAGCTACTTATCTGTCTCTACAAGAATAATACTTTCTTAAATTTCTTGTTACACAATTTCCATCGAGCGTCTAGGCTATAATAGGCCTCCTGATCTTTTCTTCCAGTGAGAAGAGAGATTTCTCATAGGTTTTTCTCAGTCGTCTTACGTAACTCTCACCTCCGTTCCGACAGATAGGATTGCAGAGAGAGTGTTCATGTGTCTGGAAAAACTCAGGGGAAAATGATTCTTTTAAGCCTTTAACAGTTGCAGTACTCCAGTGGGGCATTGTATGAAAAAAGTAGATGAGAAAAAGAATGATACAGACCTCAGGGGTTTAATCTTGGGGCCAATCTAATCTTTCTGTCTCTCTCTGCAGTTACTTCTTTTAACTCTTTTTGTTCTTGCCACTTACTTTAGGGGGTTCCTGCATTGTTATTTCCCATTTCTCTTATAATGTTTATTTTTTCAATAAAGCCATGCTCCTTGTTTGTCTGTAAATGTTTTTTATCATTTCAGCAGAAATAAACATATTTTAATATTTAAATAAAATTCGCAACTTTGAAATCAGTATGCATTTCATGAGTGTAATAGTTTTGATGAAGGAATATTCAATTAATTGCCTTTTTTAAAAGTTCATTGACATCAAACAATATTAATGTTGCTTTCAGAATAACTGTGTTTGCATGCTGTTTGACATTGGAATTACAACATTTACTCTGATGTATATATTCATAACAACAAAGTATGGTTTATTGACTGAAGAATAGTAATGGTTTAAAATGCCAGGAGTTATTTTTACTAGATTGCATCAGTACCTCCTAGCAGTGTAGTTTGAAGAGTGAAGGTATTATACATTTAGTATCAAAGATAAATGTCTATTTATTGCATCAGGACATCCATTAAGATACTTGTCCGTTAAAAGATGTTGTTAAGGACATCAAACCAACATGATAATTGACGAAGTGTTGATAAGTTTATCAGTCCATGAAGAGTGTTGGTTTAGGAAGTGCTTACAGTTGATCAATGTGAGTGTGTTGATTTAGGAAGTTGTAATTTCTTCACTAGATAGTGCTGAAACATCCAATTATGTAACTGAAAATAATTCTCCCATGCAATGTAACAAAGTGTTTTCCCTTGATGTTCAACTTTTGGCATTTCTGTGCAAGTCGGCATCTTTGATTTTGTGTATTTATTGCTGACATTTGTTCTCAACCTTTTCATAGCACAGGCATCTGCTGATAAGCCGTTTGCTTTTAAAAAAAGGGTGGACTTTATGTAACTTTTTTTCTTGGTATGTTTAGTGGTTAATAATATGAAGTAACGTACTAGTAGGTGTGAAGTAGGCAAATTATTTGTGTCAACATCAACTTCAGCTAGTTTTGTAATTGATAGATACCTACGAGTTTAGAGTTTGCAATCCTTTAAACATTCATGTTGGGCAAAATGTAAAAGGAACTAAGAAAGAAGGCATTATACAAACAGTCTCTATATAGCAAGCCTTAGTAACAAATTAAAATAAATTTAATTCATAAAATTGAAATTAAAAAAAAAATTATTGTAAAGAGTAAATTGAAGATATATTTTTCATAAGAAAATTCTCTTTTTTTTTCAAATCTTTAACATGCTGTTGTTATATTACAGTCAACAGCAGAAGTACCAGAAAAGTTCTTGATTGCCATTAAATTACATCAGATTTTTATTAATGCTTGGATATTTTGAACAGTGCATCAGTTTAGTATACAGCTGGATGTGAAAAGAACCAAAACTGTCTATGGTGAGCACAAAATAACTTCATCAAATTGCCCGCTGAGCAAGGTGGGTTACCTAGACACCCAGTTTCAGAGAGACTCCTACATTTGCCTGCCTTAACCATTTATTGTAATGTTCCAACTTTAATGTATGGACATCAATCAAATAGCATGGCAGCTGGGACACGATAGGCCCACTTCACTTTGATCAATGAAAACTATAAGCTACAGCTTGATAGGGTTGTTATCAACATCATGTATCAGACAGAACTTCATATCTCTGGTTTTTATAGTCCGTTAGATAAAGAATCATTAATCTTGGGTTCTTATATTCAGTATGAGCAGGAAGGATTGAAAAGGTGATGTGACTGGAATGTTTCTCTATACAGCAACCATTGAGCTCTGTTTTCTGAGTAACTTGGTAATGCTTTTGTGTAAGGGAAGAACTATAGCTTTTTTTTTTTTCCTCTGGCAGCCCTACCCCCTTAGTATGAGATTGTCAAACAGGTCCGTAGCCAGCAATTTTAAAAGGGGGGTTCTTTTTCTGAAAAATTGGACCTTTTCCCATAAAAACGTCATGTACCTAGATCAAATTTAACCCAGAGTGGACCTTTTCCCAGCAAAAGGGGTGGTTCTTTCGAACCCCCGAATCCCCCAGGCTACGGGCCTGCCAAATAATGTTAAATGTCTAGAGCATAACACATACCATGTCACCAATACTTGAATACAATATATTGGCTTAGTTTTATTACTGATTAATCAGCAGAACACCTACAGCTAATTTATGCTATATGGAAGCTGTTAAAATTGACTTGGCTTGAAAATAAGCCATTCTGAAGATTATAACATCATAGTGTTCTCTTAGGATGTTCGTAGAAAAAGACTAAGCTTTTTGTTTCTGATTTCATTAATTTAAGTTAAAAAAAAGGAAAACAAAGAAAAAAAGTCAAAACAGCACAGTTCCTAGAAGGTCTTGTCTTCTTTTATCAACAAATCTGCTTGTAGAAATGATGTTTTTAATTGTATCAAGCATAATTAGAACAGACAAATTCAAGCAGGTATGTCAGCACTGCTCTAAAAGTATCAAGTAATCTTCTAAAAATATCTCCTTCAGATGTTTTTATCTTTTGAGATCAATTTAGAAACATTTTCAAAGTTGTCTGGTTAACCTTGGTATTCACAGTGACAGTTTTTCCGTTCTTATCAAGAGCCAATTAAATTGGCTGTACATAAACTCTGCTAAATTGTGAAGCAGCTAAGAATTCTTGGCAAAAAGCACCATCAGTATGAAAAACTGGTCATTTGAAACAAATGTGCATCCTTTGGCCATCTTTAAATTGAAATGGTGAAACAGTTTGATGCAGAGAAAAAAGTTTTACAAGAGGTTGCACAAAACCTTTTATCAACAAAATAAAATATATTTTTCAGTTAGTCAGGAGTTGGCATTAAACAACAAATCTGCCACTTTGACATCAAGAGAAATTAACTTAAGAGTTCAAAGGTACAACTATGTATCCACGTATGTACCTTCATTGACCTAATGTTCCTTCATGTGACTTTATAATGGTCGATGCTGTGCAAAGTACCATGAAATAGATTAAATAATCAGTGCACTGAAGAATGGAGGAAAGCATCCCTGTCATTTTACCAACAATACTCCATCTTTTATGAACCATGGGTTTACAATAAGTAAATGTTAAGAAGGGTAATTATTCCCTCAGACTCATGGATCTGTGTCTCACTCTGTGCTCCGCAGCAAGTGTCCTGCCGTAGTGGTAATGATGATGATGACGGTGAGTTTTCTTACAAGTCAAAATACGAATAAAAGCCCTCCGAAATGAAGTATTAAACATGGTATAGATGATGGGGTTGGCCAGTGAGGCCACGTAACCCAGCCAAACAAAGACGGTAAACGTGTCCTCAGTTGTTTCTGCCATGCATGGAGTACAGGTGACAGATAGGACATTCAAGACAAAAAAAGGTGCCCACAAGATCACAAAAATGGCAAAGATGATCCCAAGCACCTTGGATGCTTTCTTCTCGTTGCTTGCTCTGTGGCGCGACAGTTTGTTATTCCTTCGTAGGCTTTCTAGTGATATCTTTTTGTCCACAGTTTTAGCTGCTGCACAACTGAGACGACAGCGGTGCACGAAATCAAGACCTGTCTGACAAAGCGTTTGTACGGGTTCACAACAGGTGCCAAATTTTTTGGTTGGCACATTAGGTGGCTGTGGCTCGTCAGGGTGTATGACAACCCCGTTACTGGAACTACTGTGGTTAATATCGCTGTGAGCCTGGAACACAACGGAGGAATTCCTGCTGGCGTTGTTGATTGTGGTGGTGCCACCTACCTGCAGATGGGCACCACTTGTGGTGACAGCCTCCAGAGGACCAGGAGGCATCAATAAGTTCTGATTCTCCTTTGGCACTGTAACTGTGGGAGTAGTATTGTCTTGTCCATTGTTGATTTGATTTTCTGAAACTCTCGTTTTGTAATCCCGAAATCTGGTAGCAAGGATTTCCCAAAATCTAGATTTCTTTTTATTTGTGTTTGGTTTTGAAATCTTTGTTGAATGATCTGAGTTTTCCTCGTGGTCAGAATGCAATATGTCTGTCTCTTGCACAGAGTTTGGAGCGCTGCCGTTAGTCAGAAAAGAATGGGCATGGCCGTTACTAGGTGGGTCTGAAGGAACATAACCATTGCTTGGGGGATCAGATGGAACATAGCCATTGCTAGGGGTATCCCTTTGCTCCACAAAGCAATTATTTGGAAACTCTTGTCTTAAAACTTTAATTCCAGAATAAATATTAGAAGATGAAGAAACATGAAGATTGTCACTAGCTCCTGAGTGAACAGATGTAGTGGAAGCGTGAGAGCTGGTAGATTGAACATTGTTTTGTGAAGTATTTATAACATCTTCAATTGGAAAACTAGGACTTTTCAACTCCAGGTTACTGTTTGGATTTATACCATCATGAATATGGTGTTTTACCTGGTTATTATTACTGAAGGAATGGCAGTCTTGTTCACAGTTAATGGCAGACCTGTGCTGCTTTTTATTTTGTACAGCATTGTAATTACCAGGTAATTGTCTCTCTTTGTTATTGTTATCATACAGATGATGTTCATCATATTCCATACTCCCATCATCGTCATTAGCAGCATTATATTCCTTGCATTCTGCACTAGAGATTGAACTACTTCTACTCCCAGGTGGTGAATTTATATGTAGGAAAGGTCCCGTTTTTGAGTCAGGGCGACAAAATGGCTGCCTTTCCTCCAGATTTTTGCAGTCGTTTTGACTCCAGTTACTACCTTGGTGCGATGATGACAGTCTCTCTATGGTATCAGCCACCATAGAAGAAAACGAGTGAGCCTTAATGTCGACGAGATCCTCTTTTGGTTTTAGCTCCAGTGGGGTTCCCATAGTAACCAACAGGGATAGGAAGGCATTTTTTGTCAAATTTTGTAAAGGGTTCATGCTAACAGTCTGAGAGCGCGGCCGCGGTGGTGTATCACTTGATGTCCCTCTTGATGTGAGCATAGTGCAAGAAGAGGCCCTGTTAATAACACCAGTTTCCAAATCTTCCACTGAAAACTTTCGACTGTTGCCGCCATCACTGCTTATACTGCTAACACTGCTGCTAGTTGATTGGTGAGAAATTCGCTGTGTGCGAGCTTCTGATGATTTTTGTTTCTCAATAGAGATAGGTTCCTCCTGTATCCCAGACAATTGACACTGCATTATAGTCGCCGTCTGACCAACATTTGATCCTATAGATGAGCGGAAACTGTCACTTTTACTGTGCCTCATTTTAGAGTTGTGCATGTGTTTCTGATTGCGATACAAAATCAGCAGCGTCAAAACGTATGTCACAATCATGATAAGAAGAGGGATGTAAAAGGCAAAGAGAGATCCATAAATAATGAAATTAGTCATGGTAGGAACACAGACACCATTATTGAAAACATTTGAATAATCCGTGAATCCTGAGATAGCTATCGGGCTCGATATCGCCAGTGAAATAATCCAGACACTGCAGATTTTCAGTGCCACCATTTTCTTGGTCTTGTTGCGTCCATATTTCATTGGATAGCGGAGAGTGAAGTAGCGATCCATGGACATGGTACACATATGCCATATGGAGGCTGTGCACATGCATACGTCTGTCATAGCCCAGATGACACAGAACGCTGGATCCAGGGGAAAGTAGCCTGGAAAATAGAAAAAAAAATATTACGCATTTAAAAATGTTTGCTCTATTTTATCTTATAATGTCAAATAATAATAAATTATAGTGGAATCTGCTAATTACCTTATGATACCTTACAGTTATTTACAAAAAAATAAAAAAAATATTATTTTATCTTTGGAATTGTGTGAAACATTGACTAACAAGGATATTTGTGCAACTTTTATAGGTTTTACTGCAGTCCCAGTATATCCAAAGTAAGCAGAATCTGCGGTGTTATTAAGTACAATTGCATCTCTAAGATGAGTCGCATTGAGATTAGCGAGATAGAAAGTGATCTTGAACTCAGTTTTTTTTTTGTTCTTTTTATCCAGAAATTGAGAGACGATAACTTGGCAGACACAAGTAATATGCAAGACCCCAAGTCTTAGCATGTGTCAGAAGCTGAAGTGTCTTAACCTGTGCCTTGTACATTTCACCTATGGGAAATGTCAAGGTTTAATGTAATTTACTGCATCAACAGTTTCAACACTTAATAAAAGCCTTAAGTGATTATGTGCAATGTTCTGATGTGGAGTATGGCCTAGCAAGTGTATGTTATAAGGTAGAGTCTATTCTGCACTGTAGTTCACGTAGTTGATGTTATTTATTGCTTCAACAGTTTCTGCGTGTTACTGCGACATTGTGAAGTGTTTCAGTTTGCATTTTTATGGCAAGGTAATTGTAATGTTCTTAGACAGGTAGACTTAATCAGACTTCAGTCTGTTTGCACTAAGAGATAGTTTTGATGCACTCAAAAAACCTGAAGGACGTTTTGATTAATTAGATAAAAGACAAGGAATATCTCGTAAGTGCTGTGCACATGTAATGATGAATGCGTGAGTCTGGTTTTGATTGCTTTCTTTTTTTTTCTGATGGTTTACAGTTTTACAAGCATGACAGCAGACGTGGCTTAGAGAAAGCCAAAGCTAATATTTTTCACTTTCTATCCGAGTTTAAAAATTTGCCATTTTTTTTTTAATTTTTCAAAAAAAAAAAGTTTTGTGATCAGTAGTGAGTAATGATCATTACTGAATTCATCAGTCGCTAAATTAGTCAGTGAATAAAACCAATCAGTGACTGAGTTGATCACTTTGTTATTGAACCAACCATTCACTAAGTCTGTCAAATACTCAGTTATACAAGTGATATCTTGACATGCCCCCCCCCCCCCTCTCCCCGACCCCTCCACTGCCCTTTGGGTGTTTACACATATAATTCCATGTAATCCTGGAATGGTGTAGAAGCTATGTATTATAGACGTGAAGACAGCATACCTCTCATAGCAGTAACATTGCTGGCATGGTTGAAGATACTCACCTTCACTGGAGTGAGGTGGAATGCAGTTTGACTGACCAGGACATGTGTGTATGGGGGCTGGTCCTGATGCTGTGGGGGGGGGG